CCTCATCCTCTTCCTCATCCTCATCTTCATCCTGATCTACATCCTCATCCTCATCCTCATCCTCATCCTCATCAGCATCCTCATCCTCATCCTCCTCCTCCTCCTCCTCCTCCTCCTCATCATCATCACCATCATCATCATCATCATCATCATCATCATCATCATCATCATCATCATCATCATCATCATCATCATCATCAATCATCAATCATCATCACCATCATCATCATCATCATCATCATCATCATCATCATCATCATCATCATCATCATCATCATCATCATCACGATCATCATCATCATCATCATCATCATCAGCATCAGCAATCATCATCATCATCATCATCATCATCAGCATCATCATCATCATCAGCATCATCAGCATCATCATCAGCATCATCATCATCATCCTCTTCATCACATCATCACCACATCACCATCATCATCATCATCATCATCATCATCATCATCATCATCAGCAACAGCATCATCATCATCATCATCATCACCATCAGCAGCAGCAGCAGCATCATCATCATCATCAGCATCATCATCATCATCATCATCAGCAGCAGCATCAGCATCATCATCAGCAGCATCCTCCTCTTCCTCATCCTCCTCCTCCTCCTCCTCCCCATCCTCCTCCGCCTCCTCCTCCTCCTCCTCCTCCTCCTCCTCATTATCATCAGCATCATCAGCAGCATCAACATCATCATCATCATCAGCATCAGCATCATCAGCATCATCATCATCAGCAGCATCATCATCATCTGCATCAGCATCACCCTCGTCATCATCATCATCATCATCCTGATCATCATCCTCATCCTCATCTCCTTCCTCATCCTCATCCTCATCCTCATCATCAGCATCATCAGTATCCTCAGCATCAGCATCATCAGCATTCTCATCGTCAGCATCAGCATCAGCATCATCAGCATCATCAGCATCATCAGCATCAACATTATCGTCAGCATCATCCTCCTCCACACCACCACCACCACCACCATCATCGGCATCATCAACATCAGCAGTAGCAGCATCAGCATCAGCAGCAGCAACATCAGCATCAGCATCAGCATCATAATCAGCATTAGCATCATCATCAGCATCAGTATCAGTATCAGTATCATCATCATCATCAGCATCATCATCATCCGCATCAGCATCACCATCATCATCATCATCATCATCCTCATCCTCATCCTCATCCTCATCCTCATCCTCGTCATCATCATCATCATCGTCCTCATCCTCGTCTCATCATCGTCCTCATCCTCGTCTCATCATCGTCCTCATCCTCGTTCTAATTCTCCTCCTCCCTCCTCCATCCTCATCCTGTTCTTCCTGCTCCCCATCCTCCCCATCCGCCCTCCTCCCTCCTCCCTCCTCCCTCCCCCTCCTCCCGCCTCCCGCCTACCGCCTCCCGCCGCCCTCCTCCCGTGAGTCGTAAGTCGTCCGTGTCAGCGTCGATGTCGTCATCGTCGTCGTCGTCGTCGCCGCCGTCGTGTCAACTACCAGCATCTGGAGCGCCTCGGATCGGCGGCACTGCTCGGAGGCCATTCAAATCAACACAACTTTCGGTTGAAAACACGGAACGACTAACCCCCAAAAACCTACAAATAGATCTCCTATTCAGTTCCCGTGAGGAGCCACTGCGAATCGCATGTGGTCAGTCGGCAATTCCTGCATGCATATTGCAAGTCCGTGCTGTGGCATTGCATGTTTACGCGGTAGAAATAGAATTAGTCATTTGACGGAGATGTACTTCCCATATGAACGCTACGTCTTTGAAACATATTACCTGTAAAACTATCACTCGAGGGCTATGTCCTCCCTGTATGGAACGCATCAAGTGTGGTACCTATACATCTCGTACACGGAAGCTGCAGAGCTGCCCCAGGGAAGCCCATGCAAATCCAGCGTGAACGCTACACAACTATCGAAGAGCCCATGTTCGGACATGAAGCCCGCTCCAAAACGATGCGGACATGTTCACGCGTCGTTATTGCACACTGTAGGGCTCCTCATGCTTACAACGTAGACTCTCCGGTAGTAAACCTACCAAATCCTGAGTGGCAGCCATGCAGCTAGCTTTCCGAAGATGACATCCTTAGGCGATTATCATATGACAAATGGGCAATTTCCCAATCTGGAAGCTATTGTGGTCCAGCAGAATATATATGTATATATATACGCACATATATATATACACACATAGATATTACCATGTGCAAGTTACACCGTCCCAACGCCATATTACACACACCCTGGTGTTGTACACTTTGTCATGGAATATCCACCCATCAAAATTACATGGGTGCTCTACTGCTCGCTGATGGAACTCTCCCAACACGAACAAAGAAGTTGCGCACTGTCCACATGAAAACCAACTCCGCCAACTCAAACGAAACAATACACAACTGTCGTTCGAAAACTGCAATCTGCATACGGTAACCGTACAACCCCAGTAGGGCGGTAGCCATAAAGCTCCAGTTAGACTTGTGACCGCTGCCAGGTTTCAAAACAACAACTACCCCCACATGCCAGACAGTAACACGGTACCAAATTCAGGCTCTGGCGCGCGTGTTGTCTGTCAGAATACTTGTGTATGCTTCGGAGATCAACTTGATGTGTATTGAATCGTCTTCAATTTCTCTACACATAGACTCCAATCCTGCGGCTTAATATGGCTGGTTAGATGTGTTTTTGCCGTTTGAGAAGTGGCCCAAGTGGTTGGAATGTATACCAATATGTCGGGATTGGTCCGTCAAGCCTTCGGATCCAGAACGTCAGTGTCGTCGTCATCGCCGTCCTCGTCGTCGTCGTCGTTCTCCTTCGGGGTCGGCGACACTCGGCGCAAGGCCTTCGCAGTGAACAATGCATGGGATCGGTTTAGTTCGCATGGCACCGTCGAGATCGCGACGTCAGCACCTCCTTTTGATGCAGTCGCGTGATCCTGGCGGTACCGTCCTGCCCGGTGGACAGAGTAGCCCCGTGGCAGACGAGGAACTGGAGGAGGAACGTGGGAGAGAGGAGGGGGGCCGGGAGAGTGAGAGGCGGTCGCAAAGGCACCAGGCCCTGCCATCGCTCGGACATCCGTCCCCGTGCAGTGTTTGTTTTCGTGCGCATGTATGCGGCTCGATGATCCAGGGTGCTCCCCGATGGCCCTCGCCGAAAACGTGCACACGTCCGAAAGATGCCAAGAGAATATGCGTGGGATATGGGGGGGCTGCCCTCTTCACAGAGAGCCCAGTCCCCCCCCCCCCAGACTTGAGGGGAGCCTTGAGGGTGGTGTGTGCAGTCATCGTGCTACCACGAGGATAGCCAAATCAGGATCTGGCCACGGCGAACCTCGGCCACACGTAGATTCCCGTTCTAGACCAAAGGAACGGCCCGAAAACCTGAGCCCCTAATGAGCACAAAGCGTTCCTTACTTCAGCGGCTTGACTGTACTTTGAGAGGGGTCCCCCGATTGTAACCGCGCCAGTGAACGCCGATCTCGCATCATTGTTTCGTGCAAAGTCAAGGATCTCTCGTGATCCTGCTGTGCTGAAGGGATGCCCGAATAGTGACACGCTCTGAAACTCTATGCTGGGAGATAATGCCGACGAGTCGAAGACGGTATCTTTCCGAGATGTCCAAGAGAGCGGAATAGCACGACCGACGTCGCCTAGAAACGCGCGGGGCTGCACAAATATCCCGATGTCTTGCCCGGACTACACGTCGGTCGGAAGTAGGAGGTAAAAGCGTGAAGTAAGAAGGTGGAATGTAGATTGGGTTCAGGCCCTCCCAGATGGGAACAACACACAGCAGCAGCATATCGATTCTTGAAGCAGTAGGAAGGCGCTCAAAGTAGACTGGGACCAGGGCATTCAGAAATACATACTTTCAACGACCGGCGCGCACACCTGGGCGGATCATCATGAGGGGGGCACCCTCGTGAAAGGCTTCCCAGCCTCGCTGAAAGCTCCAAGACATGGCACAATCTGCAAGCGAGCTTGTGATTGAACGCCTCTCCTCGGAATGCTTGACATCCACGGTCAAAGGCCAAGTGGAATGGGTAGAAAAGTGGAGAGGTAAACTGTGACCCCATCCCCGGTGGGATGGGGACCCTTGCCCAAGGCTTTCCTCAGAAGGCCGACCCTGTCATCGCACGTCTACATTGGTTGCGCAGCTCTGAACAACTGGCCCACCTGCCAGCTCATTACAAAATCCTCCGTCCTCAATCACCCGCGTCCTCCCTCATCCACCAGCTCCTCCTCACCTAGCCCTCGCCTGCTCTTCCACTTCGTCGAACTAATAAGCCTCTTCATGCCTTGTAAAATTACCATACCTGTCATGCCTTGATCGCTCCCAGGCCCGTCCCTCCAAGATCTCAACCCGCACCTTCGCCTCGGCGCTGGCTCCGCCGGCGACCAGGGCCGTCAGCCAGGCGAACGCGTTCTGCTGTGCTGTCCCAGGCAGGAACGGGCCAAGGAGAAGAGTACAGTTGGGAGGACAAGGAAAGAATACGCATATAGATAAATACATGTACCAAACTAGATTGACTTACAATTATACAGAGAGAAGGGGGAGAAGAAGACAGGGGTCGGTATGGGATGGGATGGTAGAGCAAGCAGGATGGTGGGATGAAGACACATGCTTGAGGAAGAATGAATGCACAAGGACATTCTCTCGAGAGCCATTACCGCGCCATTCAAGAGAAGCACTCTCCTCTCATGCGCCGCTAACCGAGGGGGAGTGACGAGGACGCCGTCCACAAGCTCTCACGGCCGATGCCACGACGCTGCTGACGACGTGACCCCCCCACGTCTTGGGGCCCGTCTCCGAATTATCGTCCTCGTCACGGTCTGCTCGGCGACACCTGCAGTCAGCCCGTATAGTAAGGATGAGCAACCTTCCCAAGGGTACCCTTGTACCCCTGCCTCCACATCCTCGGCCCACCCTTCGCCACTCTCGTGGGCCGCGCCCCGCTCGAAGGGCTCCGGCGTGGGCAGCCGAGGCCCTCGCATCCTTGTCGCGCATCCTCACGATGCGGGCCGACTGCAAGGCCCGGGCCCTCCCCACTGACTACCTACCTACCCGACCACCCCAACCCAGCCCGAAGACCCCAATTTCGGGTTGGGGGGGGGGGTACGGGCTCCACATGTGTCTTTTCAGGGTTCCCCGACCCCCCCCCAACTGGAAAAATGGAGGGCAAACTGAGGCCCCTTCGGGCGGGGTGGGGGTGGTTTGGTGGGTGGTGTGACCCACCGAATCTGCCCGCCACGGCGGAGGGGCACGCGCGGCCGGCCCCGAGAGCAGCGAGCAGAGTTCCCTCGGGGGAGGGGGGGCGGGCGGGGCGGGCGGCCTGGCCCGCGACCGCCGCGCCGCTGCCCCCGGCCGAGCGCCCCGGGAGGCGCTGTGCAGTGCCCTCCCGGAGGCCCCCGGCCCGCGCGGCGGCGCAGGCGGCACGCCGCGCGGAGGCCACGGCCGGGAGTGGCGGCGGCGCCTCGAGAGGGTGCGGAGGGTCACCTCGAAGGAGCGACCAGGGCTGGTGCAGGGCTGCTTGGACGCGGGCTCCCCCTCCGCCGCCTCCTCCTGCTCCTCCTCCTCCTCCTCGTCGTCCTCCTCCTCCTCCTCCTCCTCCTCCTCCTCCTCCTCCTCCTCCTCCTCGTCCTCCTCCTCCTCCTCCTCCTCCCTCCGCCTCCTCCTCCTCCGCCTCCGCCACCCCTCCTCCCTCCTCCCTCCTCCCTCCTCCCTCCTCCCTCTTCCCTCCTCCCTCCCTCCTCCCTCCTTCCTCCTTCCTCATTTTTCCTTCCGCCTTCCTCCTCCTCCTCCTCCTGCTCCTGCAGGACGAAGGCGACTCAGTCAAAATCATCCGGGAGCCGGCGTAGTCCGAGGATGTGAACGTCGGGCGTCGCGGCCGTTCCAGAGCGCTCTGAGTGGGCTCTGCGATCCTCCGGAACGATTTACTCATCGGAGGCTGGGGAATGAGGTCGAAATGCCGCTAGCCTGGAAGCCGTTGTCGGCGAGCGGGCGGGGCCACGAGGGAGGGTGTCGCTGCACTGTCGAATGCAGATCGACATGCAGACCGAACTGCAGACCGGACTGCAGATCGGAACGCAATCGACATTCACACAAACATACAAGCCAAGCTGCAATCGAAAGGCAAGAGACAAAGCGGATCCAATAACATTCGAAATGCACTTGGACATGGAAGTTCCTAACACCCCCTATCCTCCTCACCATTCGAACATAGGGTGCCTACCTATGAGGAGTGCTCTCATCCTAGGCCTGCCTGAGACCTCCTCCTCCTCCTCGTAGTCGTCATTCTCGTTCCTTACAGCTATCCTATACCGTGTCAGGAAAATACTAGCATGTTAGAATGACCGTCAGTTGTGGCTTTCCAGAGAGATCCCCCTCACCGCAACCATACCTAGAAATTTGCACTCTAGTTTGCCATCTGGCGCTCTGTCCACCGTCTCGGCAGCTGCAAGATGGCTGCAAGATGCCCCACGGACAGCTGAAGACGGCCCAAAGAGCCCCCATAGAATTGAAAATGCACCATGCATCAGCAAGCCGCGAGTTTACTTTGGTATGGTGAATAACCATTTCTCCTCGACCTCCTCCACCCTCCTCCTCATTACCCCTTCCTCCTTGCCCCTTCCTCCTTACCCGTTTCCTTCTCGTCCCTCCCTCGTCCCTCCTCCCTCCTCCATCCTCCATCCGCCCTCCCTCCCCTCGCTCATCCCCGCTCACCTCTCTCCCGTTCCCCCTCCCTCCCTGCCTCCGCGGACGACCCACCGCGGCCCCAGCGGCCACCCCGCCCCGTCCCGCCGCCGTCGATGCTCAAGAACATGTTGGTGATGCGCCCGATCGCGGCGCCGTCCCCCTGGATGATCGCCTCCCCGGCAGCTCCCAGGAGACGGCGGGCGTGGCCCCCTCCAAGGGAAAAACCTCCCGCCCCAGATCCCCGACGTCGTGACTATTTCACAACTTCGGCCCCCAGAGGTCTCGAACCCTTCCCCGGGGCCAGTTTTTCATCCTGGGTCGTTTGTCAACGGTCCCGAGGCTCGGTATGGGAGGCTCGGCACAGGGCCGTGGGGGCCCCTCAATGGCCCTGGCTTCCGAGAGGCACATCAGCGCCCAAGATCGGACGCCCGACCAACAGAAGGCCCGGGAAGAAAAATCAAAGGCAGCAGCGTGGAATGGGGATTCCCCGCTGCAATGTCCCGGCGGAGCACCTCGGGGAATGCCAGGAAGCCGCGACCAGGACGTCCACCTCCACGCCCCAATCCTCCTACACATTTTCATCCTCGAACTCCTCCCCATCCTCCTCGTCCTCCTCCCACCGCCTCCTGCGCCCCCCGCCTCCACTGCATCTTCCTCCTCTTCGGCCTCCTCCTCCTCCTCCTCCTCCTCCTCCTCCTCCTCTTCCTCCTCATGGTTCCTGGCCCTCCACCTTCCCATCGCGCCACTGGTCGTCCTCCACCAGTGGCACCTGCTCCTGGACCTCCTCAATCCTCCTCGTCCCCCTGCTCCTGCACCCTCACTTTCTCCTCCTCCTCCTCCTCCTCCTCCTCCGCCTCCTCTCCTCCTCCTCCTCCTCCTCCTCCTCCTCCTCCTCCTCCTCCTCCCTCCTCCTCCTCCTCCTCCTCCTCCTCCTCCTCCTTCCTCCCCTCCTCCGCCTCCTCCTCCTCCTCCTCCTCCCTCCTCCTCCTCCTCCTCCTCCTCCTCCTCCTCCTCCTCCTCCTCCTCCTCCTCCTCCTCCTCCTCCCTCCTCCTCCTCCTCCTCCTCCTCCTCCTCCTCCTCCCTCCTCCTCCTCCCCTCCTCCTCCCTCCTCCTCCTCCTCCTCCTCCTCCTCCTCCTCCTCCCCTCCTCCTCCTCCTCCCTCCTCCTCCTCCTCCTCCTCCTCCTCCTACTCCTCTTCCTCCTGCTCTTCCTCCTCCTCCTCATCCTCCTGCTCCTCCTTTTCGTCTTCACGGCCCCTCCTCCCCGCCTAATCCTCCTGCTCCTCCTCGTTCTCATCCACCTCCTTCTCCTCCCACTCCCCTCCTCCTCCTGCTCCTCCTCCCCCTTCTACTCCTGCTCAGCGTCCTCTTCGCCCTCCCCGCCCCTCTCGCGCAGCCCGAGAAAGCCGCAGGGCGGGCGCGTTGGACGCGCGGTAGGGGCGCCGAGCACGCGCCGGCGACGGGCGGTTGCGGATGCGCGCGCCCGCGGCCGGGCTGAAACGCATCGCCTGGTTGCGGATGCGGTTGCGCGGGCGGGTACAAATGTGTCGCCATGTTGCGGTTGCAGTTGCGCGGGCGGGTTGACATGTGTCGCTTGGTTGCGGTTGCGGTTGCGGTTGCGCGGGCGGGTTGAACTGTGTCGCCTGGTTGCGGTTGCGATTGCGGTTGCGGTTGCGCGGGCGGCTTGAAATTTGTCGCCTAGCTGTGGTTGCGGTTGCCGTTGCGCGGGCGGGTTGAAATGTGTCGCCTGGTTGCGGTTGCGGTTGTGGCTGCGCGGATGGGCTGAAATGTGTCGCCTGGTTGCTGTTGCGGTTGCGGTTGCGCGGGCGGGTTGAAATGTGTCGCCTGGTTGCTGTTGCGGTTGCGTGCGCGGGCGGGTTGAAATTATCGCTAGGTTGCGGTTACGATTGCGGTTGCGCGGGCGGGTTGAGATTGCGCGACCGGGTTGAAATATGTCGCTTGGTTGCGGTTGCGGTTGCGGTTGCGTGGGCGGGTTGAAATGTGTCGCCTGGTTGCGGTTGCGGTTACGTTTGTGCTGCTGGCTTGAAATGTGGTGCCTAGTTGCGGTTGCGGTTGCGCGCGCGGGCGGGTTGAAATGTGTCGCCTGGTTGCGGTTGCGGTTGCGCGGGCGGACTGAAATGTGTCGCCTGGTTGCGGTTGCGGTTGCGCGCGCGGGTCGCCTGGTTGCGGTTGCGGTTGCGGTTGCCGGGCGGGTTGAAATGTGTCGCTTGGTTGCGGTTGCGGTTGCGCGGGCGGGTACAAATGTGTCGCCTGGTTGCGGTTGCGGTTTCGGTTGCGCGGGAGGGTTGAAATGTGTCGCCTGGTTGCTGTTGCGGTTGCGGTTGCGCGGGCGGTGTCGCGAAATTGCGTTTTGGTTGCGGTTGCGTGGGCGGGTTGAAATGTGTCGCCTGGTTGCGGTTGCGGTTGTGGCTGCGCGGGCGGGTTGGAATGTGTCGCCTGGTTGCGGTTGCGGTTGCGGTTGCGCGGGCGGGTTGAAATGTGTCGCGGGGTTGCGGTTGCGGTTGCGAGGGCGGGTTGAAATGTGTCGCCTGGTTGCGGTTGCGGTTGCGGTTGCGCGGGCAGTTGAAATGTGTCGCCTGGTTGCGGATGCGGTTGCGGTTGCGCGGGCGGCTTGAAATTTGTCGCCTGGTTGCGGTTGCGGTTGCGGCTGCGCGGGCGGGTTGCAATATGTCGCCGGGTTGCGGTTGTGGTTGCGGTTGCGCGCGCGAGCGGGTTGAATTATGTCGCCGGGTTGCGGTTGCGGTTGCGGTTGCGCGGCCGGGCTGAAATTTGTCGCCTGATTGCGGTTGCGCGCTCCCGCGGGCGGTTTGAAATGTGTTGCAGACGTGCTCTCCTGACGTTCAGTCAGTCAGTCAGTCAGTCAGTCAGTCAGTCAGTCAGTCAGTCAGTCAGTGAGTCACCGGTGGGCACTGAATTTTACTGGGCTCCGCCGGGAAAAACATGTATGCGTGCAGCGTAGCTTTACACACACCAGACCACTAGACCACCAGACCACCAGACCAACCGGACCACCAGACCATCAGACCGCCAGACCACCAGACCACCGACCACCAATTCACCAGACCACAGACCGCCAGATCTCCACCAGACCACCAGAACACCAGACCATCAGACCACAAGGCCACCAGACCACCAGACCACCAGCCCACCAGCCCACAAGACTACCATACCAGCACACCACCAGACCACCAGACAAGCACCAGACCACAAAACCACCAGACCACCAGACCACCTCACCACAAGACCAGCACACCAGCAGACCAGCAGACCAGCAGACCAGCAGACCAGCACACCAGCAGACCAGCAGACCAGCAGACCACCAGAACAACAGACCACCCTACCACCAGAATACCAGACCACCAGACCACCAGGCCAACGGACCACCAGGCCAACAGATCACCAGATCTTTTCGGGAACCTCCAGCTGCACTGACGCTCCAAGAGGCAGTGTCTCGTCTCAGGAGGGGCAATCCGAATCAGGGACCCCAGCGTCTCCGCTCAAAACCAACATCTTTGAACAACCATTGGTGGTGTGCACATTTCAGCATGTCGGAGGCATTATTCGGAGGCTGTTGGGGCAACATGGCTCCACCCCAGAGACGCCAGGATTGCATCTCCGATTGCTCAAGGTACCCCAGTATGGCTCAATATGGCCACCACTATGTCTCCAAGAGCCCTCGAAACACCCCCAAGACAGCCCCAAGTGGCCACGGAGCCTCCTCACACAAGGAGGTCCTCAAGAGGCCAAAATCGTTCAAACCCTCAGGGGAACCAATGGCTTAGTCGGAGGGGTAAGATGAGCGGATCGCTCGAGGCATCCCCACATCATGGACGCGAGGTGCTCAGTATGGCCCCAACACTGTCACACGAGCGCCCACGAGCGCCCCAAGAGCGCCCCAAGAGGGCCCCACGACGCGACTTTGGGACTCCAGAGGTGCAGCGCTACGTGAGAACTACCCCTTCTTTGATCCCCAAACTGACTCCACAAGGCCTCCAGGGCTCTCAAGAGGGCCCCAAGAGAACATCAAGAGGACACCAACAAAACATCCAAAGCCTCCCAAACGGCCCCGACGGGCCCCAAACTGGCCCAAGTAATCTGCCAAGAGGCTCCGATATCGAAAGATCACCGAATGCATTTCTGATTGACTTCTGGGCCATCTCAGACAAATGCTGACCTTATGTTCGACGGCTGCCCACATCTGTGTTTTCCGTCGCACTTCCCTGATCGATGCAACTCGCCTGGGCATCGATGCTGGATGGGCTGGTGGGGATACTTGCTCGTTCGCGAGCGCAGGCGGTACGGCCGCGCGCCGTCGCAAGGGTCAAGCAGGCCTAAAGCAACAACTGAAGACAGAAGCTGCGGGATCTGCTGGTGGGGATACCTTTCCTCGCGGGCGCAAGCGAAAGCGCCGGCGCCGAGTTGAAAGGTCCGGGCCACGGGCCGATCTAATCTACATGCGCGGTCGAGGCCGCCTACGGCGTGAGGGGAGGAGCAACGCGCGACGCGTCCGTCTAGGCGAGGCGAAGCGAGGCGAGGCCTACGCGAGGCGAGGCCGCGCCTACGCGCGAGGCTGGTGGATACGCGACGCGTCAAGGCGCGTGCTCCTGCTGCAGCGGGGGCCCCGTTTCAGGATCGGCGCTCTCGCCCCCAGGCGGGCCACGCTTCCGGATCCGACTCGTTCCTCGTCGTTGCCGTCCCCCCCGTGTCCCTCCTCCGCCTTCCCGTGGTCTTCCTGCTCCTATTGTTCATCCTGCGTCTGCTACAGTCGAGGCGTTGACCTAAGGAACCCCAAATAAGGAACGGGGCCCCTTTCTCCCACGAGTTGAACCTCGGTTTCCCATGGAAAACCTCAGGAGAAGACAAGGCAAACTGCAGAACAATCGAGGAACACCGAGCCCCTCCCCAGCGGAAAGGGTTCCTTCGTCAGGGCCCCGACTGTACTGCTGCTGCCGCCTCCTCCCAGACCGACTGACCAAAGACACCCTTCAGATGGCGCATCATGCGATGGGGTAATTTAGAGCATCGGGGCACACGTCATTCGGAGGAAGTAGGCAAAAACATGAAGTGGGAAGGCGGATGAAGTGGATTGGGTCCAGGCGCCCCCACCAGAGAATGACAGAACACAGCAGAAGCGTGCCGATCCTTGAAGCAGGAAGGTGCTTGAAGTAGATTGGGACCTGGGAATCCAAGAATACCTACTTTCAGCGACCGGCGTGCAATCTCGGACTCCCCAGCCCTGGCCATCACTCGGACGTCCATTCCCTGTGTTTTTTTCGGCTTCGTGCGTGGTTCTTTCGCCAAATGATCAAGGATGCTCCTCGATGGTCCTCGCCGAAGGAAAAACGCACACGTCCGAGCGATGCCAAGTGGCAGGGAGGGGTAGGATATCAAGCGTGGCGCGAGCGCGCCTGGCTCGCCCTGTCGCGTTCCTCCTCTCCTCCCTCGGTGTCCCCTCGCTCCTCCCTGCCCCCTCCTCCTTACTCCCTGCTCCCTCCCTCTTCCCTCCCCCCTCCTCCCTCCTCCCTCTTCCCTCCTCCCTCCTCCCTCCTCCCTCCTTCCTCCTTCCTCCTTCCTCCTTCCTCCTTCCTCCTTCCTCATTTTGCCTTCCGCCTTCCTACTCCTCCTCCTGCTCCTGCGGGACGAAGGCGACACAGTCAAACTCATCCGGCCCCCTCCCGCCCCTCATCCTGGGTGAGCTCGCTGTAGAATGCCTGCCCGAGGGGCTGGTCCAGCCCGTCGACCTCGTCGATGTTTGTGATGCCCGCCTCGCCCGGCGGGGAGAAGGTCATCCTATCTGGGGGGGGCCCAGGGACACCCAAACAAATAGGCACACATCCCTGGATTCCCCACATGCTTCACTGCTTTCTGGATGTTCGTGTTCCCCTCCAGTTTCCATCTGCTCAATATTTTCCTGGGAATCGACGATATTTGTGTCTGTGTGTTCCCCCCTCCTCTCTATGGATATTCTTCATCCTCCCCTCCTCGTCCACTGGAAGGCCGAAGGTGACGACCGAGCGTCACAACGGCACAAGAAGGCGATCCTGGTTCTGTCCCGTGTGGTTATTTCCTCTGCAGCATTGCCCCCTGTATATGTCACCATCCTCTTGATGCTCCTCGTCCTTCCTCCTCGTCCACCTCCTCCTCGTGCTCCTCCTCTTGCTAAATCCTCCTCCTCCTCCTCCTCCTCCGCCTCCTCCTCCTCCTCATGCCCCTCCTCTTGATACATCCTCCTCCTCCTCCTCCTCCTTCTCCACGAAATCCCACACGAAACGAAACGACAACCACAAGCCGATGATCCCGTGCGGGTCCCAAAAAAAGGCGCAGCCGCACGCGCGCTCCCAAAGGGCGGGACGACCAGACCAGGCGGACCGAACCGCTAGCACATCCGAGCTCGAGTCTTGGCCTTGCCGGCGGACGGCTCTGTGAACGAACCGTGGAGCGCCTCGAGCGGAGCCTGGTCCATGCGGCGCCCGGGCCGCACTCATACTACTACTACCTACTACTACTACTACTACTACTACTACTACTACTACTACTACTACTACTACTACTACTACTACTACTGTTACC